TTTGAAAAAATACAATTAAATTGGCCAGCCTACACCTTTTCAAAACATAATTATGACATGAGAAATTACAATAACTTTAAGTATTCTAAAAAATAAGTATGACTGCAAGAACTCAACATTTGCTTTTATCTTTTGTTCATATCATGTCTGTTTTTGCACTTATCGGTGATTTTAAGGAAGGGTTCTGTATCTTGTGGAGACGCCAGTAAAATCGGCTATACAGGGTGGTTCCTTGAGAAGAATCATTTGAGGGAGTCTTGTACAAGGTTTTAGCAACCGAGTGGACATATGGAGAGGCATATGTTATACTGACAGGAAGATGTAAATCATTCCTCTCTTGTAATGAAATTGGATACCGGAGGTGCAATTGAGAAAGGATACTTTTAATCATTTGTTGTTTCGCCGTATGAAACACAAAGAATACGGTGGACTTGAAATATGAGATGGGTGGTGGACATGATGATGATGAAATGCTTTCAAGACAAACATCTTCTGCACCCCCCCCCCTCTCCCATCTTCTCCTCCCTCCCACCCCCTCCCACCCCCATTCTCATCCATTGATTAGATGGTCTGTAATAATAGACACCAAAAACATCCATGATACACTCTGGTTTTCATTGTACATGTATGGGTGTATCCTAAATTCTTACTTCACAATTAGCTCATGAGAGCTTAAAAGGCTTTATTAAACACTTTGTATAAGTAGAAGGTGTAATTGCCCTTCTTCTTTTCTGTTATGTATCATAAAGTTTTTCATCACAAATTTTTAACCAAGAGCCAGAAGGTTGTTTACTCAATGCAAAACTATAAAAAAAAATAATGCCCCTTTTGGCTATTAACAGACCACATGATTTAGAAGTAAACCTTTCTTTGTCTCTCTTTGTTGTTTTTGTTGTTTTTAGTATCTTTTCCTGAAGGTGTATTTGCACCAATATCAGGCTTTCCTGTTGTACATAATTCTGACCAACGATCTTACAAGGGAAGCATATCGTCCTTGTTTTCACGAAGTGACGGTAGTGAAAAAAAAATTGCATTCACTTTGCGTTACGATTTTCCTCACTACCGTCACTTCGTGAAAACAAGGACGATATATCATACTAATTTACTAAGAGTATGTGTGCGATATAAATATCAAAAGTCTTTAGCAGATCTGACTGCATTGTTTGATTATTCTAGCAGTCCTTGACTCCTATGTACTTAACAATAACCTTAAATTAGGGCTCATAATTCAATGTCAGAACATTTTGGACAATTATTGCTCGTTCGAAATTAATTGTGAGGCGTACACAATGTACAAAAACACATTGAAAAATCATGTCACACAAAAATATTTCTCTCTCTTTCTCTCTCCTCTTTCTCTCTCCTCTTTTTCTCTCTCTCTCTCTCTCTCTAGCTCTTCTGTCTGTCGGTATGTCTCTCTCTCTCTCTTCTGTCTGTCTGTATGTCTCTCTCTCTCACAAATATTACCACATAGAGATACAAGGGAAAATAAAGGGATGGTGAGATATTGAGAAGTAATAGACAGAAGAAATAGGCATAAAAGGAACCATGTTGTGATTCTTGTCATTATTCTTTTGAAATTACTCATTTATCTTTTATCCAGCTTAATGGAGTTTCAATGGGACTTTATAAAAGAAACATACCATATAATTTGGTACTTTCTTTATCAAACAAATGGTTTGGGGCTATACTCAGTACTATTAGAATGTTTGTTGTCTATTATCTCTCTAATTTTATTTCAATTTGCCTGACATGCCAAATTTTCTATGGGACCGTTCTTGGAGGCAAGTAATAAAAGCAGGACATCAAAGAAAAGAGAAAAACAAGAAGAAAAAAAGGTAGTTAATGCTTTCTGTTACCAGAAATTTGTTGACATCCTCTCGTCCAGAGACAAGAGGGAAGATTTTTAGATAGAACAAAAAGAAAGAGCGACTTGACCCCTATTGTCCAGTTTGATTACTATCACTTTGTCTAGTTCATTTGAACTATCTACTTCTTTTGACCCGCTCTCCTTCAGAGTTTGAGTATCAATAGGGTATGCACTTTAAACACTCACTGTTTAATATATTTCCCCAGTTAATACAATACTGCTTATTTGAATGAAGATTTTTGTCTTTCTATCTCCAATTTTGCAGTGAAAGTGTGCACTGCATGAAGTTAAGTAGGTTGTGATATATACAGTGCATAGGAATATAAACCTTAGATCTTCACTGAAGGATGGATGCTAACATTGTCTTAATGTGTATGAGATAGCCCCCTCCTGGCTCCAAACTGACAATCTTATTCTTTCAATAGATTCACAATCATGTACTGTAACATATAGACTGTTAGTAGTGTAAAATCAATATGAGAAAGAGAAGCTATGCTTTTCCTTTAATCGTGTTTTGTTTTTCCATTAATGAATCTTATACCGGGTATTTACAATTTAATATATATTTCCCATGAGTCTTAAATCATTGTTTGTTTGATAATGATGATGTATGAAAAACTCCTTTACTGTTTGGATCAATTTTTTCATCGTAGAGGGGCTTCATTTGAGAGGTATTCAGGGGGGAAAGTAATTTAAGAACAGCTGCTTTTCTTGATAAATCCTCTCAGCAATGAATCCCATCAGCTTATGGTATAGTCTTTCAGAAGAAGAGTTTCTATTCTTTCTTCCATTGACGAGCAGTCATCTAAACGTCATTCAATCTCCAAACTCAATTTGTTCTTATATGTCCAGAAAATTACACAAATGTAAATCAAAGTGTACTTTTAAAAATAACCATCATGTACCTGATTATTATAATCCCTTGTACAACGCATTTATGAACAGACTTTTGATGACTTTGTAAATCAAGACTTGCGCACTATTTTTTTACAGATCAAAGGAAGATCCAACCTTGCTAATGAGAAAAGAAAAAAATGAGAAAAACAAATTATATTTTCATCATAAGGTATAAAAAAGAAAGGATAGTTGACCAACACTATTTCACAGTTACATTACCAATTTGCTAATTTTAAAATTCCTGTATATAGTGATTATGATTTTTCTTTTTTCCAAAAATTCTCACCCTTTTTTTTTTTGGTGTCCAATTTTGTCCAACCTTTCATAAATCTTTTAACTGATTTGTCTTGGTTCATCCCATTCAACATGTTTGAAATTTTGGAAAACCCTGAAATTTGTTGTTGAAGGAAGTGGAAGATAATTTGTGTTTGACCTCTAGTTACCTAGCTTCTTCAACTCATGTCTTTTTAAATGTCAAAACTGCTTAAAGAGAGAATGTTTTGTACATTTATCGGTCTTTGACACTAGCCAATTTTGAGCATTGTGCTACCCCTACTCCATCCTTTACATAAACTATTAAAAAAGATGTAGCCCATCATGCGTCCACCATAATATGATTTCAAGTTATTTCTGATATGCCCTTCTATGTTTATCAGGAATTAATTATTTATATATAAACTTTTTCGCATAATCTGCAGATTGACATCAACCTGCAGATTTACATCAACCTATCTTTTGTGTTGTGAGTTCTAGCTAAAATGTTTTGGTGTAGGTCTATGATCAAAATTACAAAACTGTTTGACAATATGAAGAACGGTTTCATTAGGTATTTTCATTCTGGGAGGGGCATTTTGTTTTCTTTCTTGGCCAAGTCTTTGAAACTTTGCCTGTTTGGACATGATGATACTGCCCTCCTGTGTTATACTTTGATAGTCATTGTTGATATTAATATCTCTATCCATCTTTCCATGTATGTCACAACAAAAACAGTATGAATATTGCATCATATTTCTTATATCAGTAGATCTACATCTATTATAGATCCATGACCTTTATAAAAGTGTCTGATTTATGAAATTCTGGCTTAAATGTTTTGACAACATAGGAGTTCATGGTAATGTGAAAATAAACAAAGAATAAAAGCTGAGATCAAAGTCCTAGAGTCAGGGAAACAATAGAGATGTTTTTTTCCTTGGTGGGTCAAAAATGCTCCCTCTAAACGATAGCATTGGAGAGCAAGTGCTTTGGGGGCCGTTGTTTCTAGCATAACCAATCAATATGTTTGCGTATCGATGCACCATGAGACTGTTTCAATAGGACACCTAATACCACACCTTGACTACTACTTTCTGCAAATTGGGGAAATTGAGTTTTGAATTGTTCTGCAGATCAATGTCGTCTTGCAATTGCGGTTCCGATTCCACGATTACATTCAAATTAGTATGCAAATTCAGTGAAACCTTAGCTTGGTGACTGTCTTACATACCCCCAGAAAGCAGGGCAGGGCAGGGAAGAGAGTTGCCAAGCGTTGCTTGTCTCTGGCTTGGAACAAATTGCAAGGGTTCCACTCGCCCATCCATCTTGAGAAAATGAGGGCTGCCCTGTCTTTTTTAGTCTTGAGCCCCATTTGCTTGCGGAATTGATTCAGAGCATGAAACAGTAGAACTATATATGAGCCAAATGACTCCTTCTAAAAAACAAAATAAGAGAACATTATCCTCTCTTCTGCCTCTTAAACCTTTACAAAAAAACAAAGTGCTTCCATTTCTTACCCTTGGAATCTATGAAGTCCTTTATGAAGATGATGATATATTGCATGGTAGATTTCATGATGCAGAGACCATGATATGTGGGGTTATGTTGAGCATTTAGTTTTCCCATCAACAATATACTTAAATTCAATGGCAAAGAGAAAAGCAGAGTATAGTTAATCACCTTTGTATGATAGTGCATTTGAAAATCCCTAATTTGAATTTGATGCATGCTTCATAATCCTATTTAATTGCAAAAATTCTAAAGAGCATGAAAGATACCAAGAAGAAAGGAAATTTGCACTATGAATAGTAGTGCTATTAAAATAGGCTGAAAGTCTGAGAACAATCTAGTTTTGCTCTAGCTAAATTTATTTGAAATAATTTTTTGCTTTTAAACTTAGAAATGAATCTTGCTTTTACACATTCTTTTTATATCCTTCCATTGATTCAATTTCTGCTTGTTTTTTTGCTTTTAACAGAGGATAGGAAGCTTTTTGTTGGGATGTTGAACAAGGCCCAGACAGAAGAAGAGGTCCGTGCAATGTTCACACATTTTGGAAAGATAGACGAGTGTACCATTCTCAAGGACCCCAATGGAATCAGCAGAGGTAACAGAACAAAATAAAAACTGCTTTCTTTCCAAACTGCTAAATACCTCCTACTTACATTATCCTTCTAATAGTAATTTTTAGAAAAACACTCTTTTATATTTTATCTTCTTGTTATCAAAAGACTATTGGAAGATTTATTGATTTAGTTCATGCAATGTTTGCACATTTTGGGAAAATAGATGAGTGTTCCTTTATCAAGGATCATGGAATCAGCAGGGGGTAATAACACATACACAAAAAGATTTCTTACCAAACCTGTTTCTTTTTAAAACCTTTCTTTTTATCTGCAGGCTAGGGTATAATATTTAGCTGTCTATATTTACTAATGTATTTATAACTTTGAGTAGAGAACATCATGTGACTTGTGTAAGTTCAGATTATGTAGCCTGATAACAGTAATGGAAGTTGAAGTAGATTTCACAGATTTTTTTCCTTCAATTTTGCACACACTTAAGTGAGACAAAGAGCAAACTGTAAGTTTGCCTAAAAGGGCTGCGTTAAAAAAACTTCATATTTAGTGTTGATTTTGTTTTTGTAGCCCTCGATAAAACATCTTGGATTATGCTTGTGATTCTGATTTCTTGTTGACTTACTGATAATGGATAACATTCGGTCCCCATGGATGAATCTCTCCATGAAGAATGTTTATTCAGAATTTTTAAGTACTCTTCACTTTAAGGGAAAACAGACTTTTCGGACATGACCCAGATATTCTCTAATGGCTTTCGAAGCTGTTTGATGGAAATTAATCATTGTTTGGTTTTAGGTCATCTAGATGCACCATGAAAATATATTTTCACCAACTCCATGACCCTAACTGACACTGTAACCTTGAACATCGATAATTTTCCCCATTATCCTTAAAGATTAATATCCAATCATAGTTATGCATGAAATGGGTGAAATTAAGCTAATTGTAAATACCATTTCATTGGCTGCCCACCGTTCGACTTTATGTCTGCCATGTTTGTCATAGCGATATTTTAATTAATTGGCTATTCATGAATTAATTAAGAGGGTGTTAAAATGTACCAATCACCCAAAAGTATTTTGTTCTATATCTTCAGGATGTATGTGGCTATACTATATATATATATATATATAGATATATATATATTCAAAATATGAGCTTTAAATATTTCTCCTATGAAGAGCTACTGCAAGTTTAAATACACTCTCAATTATCCTTATAGTGAGTTGTGAGTAGACTTCTTCACAGACTTGTATGCGCTCCCATGGAATAGAGCACACATGCATGGAACCCCACAGAGTTTTCTAGTTTGTGTCGAGTCTCTTTTTAAATCTCCTCCATTGGAGAACGATATCTTCTCTTAAAGGTAAAGACCAGTATTGGAAACGCCCCAATTTCAAAAAGTGAAATGGAAGCTCTCATTACCAATCATGTGAAAGAACATGTTTTGACTAATACATGATGATAACAAATTTGCCGGGAAACCGCCTACTAATTCATATATTTGGTAAATTTGTTTCTCTCATGGTCTGTGAGAGATATAGGGTAGTCCCATATACATCTTTCTGTGTATAGTGCTTGTAACTTTACGAAGAATGGGCCAAATTTCTTATCATTTTGATGATTCCAGAACCTTGCAGATGCTAGATGCTAGATGATCAACCTTTTCTGATCGATTCCACAACATTTCTTTCACAATGCGATCGCATGACCATAACTGGTCTTTACCTTTAAATATATATAAATGTGTGTGAAATGATAAGATTCTGAATTACATTGGTAATTATGATATGTAAGCTTGAATTAAGATTGTGCTGATGTTTTTTTTTTATATAATCCTTCACATTATTTTTGTTGTAGGTCCTTAATAGATCATTTCTTAAGTTGTATAATATATGCCTTTTTGATGTAACATATTCCCATTATCGTCGTCAACACAACGCCTACTTATGATCTATAAGAAAAGACTCCCACACACAAAGTACATCATAAAAACTATTATATCATTCATAATACGCTAATGTTTTGTATAGTCCTTCACATTCTTTCTGTTGTAGGCTCTTAATTGATCATTTCTTAAGTCATACATGTATATGCCTTTGTGTTCCATTTTCCCCCATTATCGTCAACACAATGAGTCTCATGCAGTCTTGACGCCTACTTATAATCTATAAAAAGACTCCCGCACACAAAATATATAATAACTATTATATCATTCATGACAGTCTCCATGCTTTTTAAAGCCCCCATCAGGGATTTGCTAGCCCTCAAAAACTTATCTCAAAGTGTATATCCACCAGAAAGAGAAGTTTATGAAAGTATGTGCAATATATCAGATTAGAAAACTGTTTTTCTCTCTATCAATGAAAATTGAAGCCCTAATTGTGAGGGTTGAACAAAACACTGCCTGCTGCAAAATTCAAATTTGAAGGAAAAAAATAATGTAATTTTGCTTAAAATTGATATTTTGTCACCATACTTATAGTAATTTTTTCAATTATAACTTTTGCATTTTCTGGCCCTTGTACAAGTTTTGAGAATTTCATGTGCAAATCCATGCAACACCCTTTAACTGTCTGTGTGAGTGTGTGGCGTTTATCTACTTATAGTAGTATAAAACAGGAAAGTTATGTTTCCTAGGAAATACATGCAGATTTATTTCTTTTTTTGCAATCTTTTTATCTTTGTTTCTGTTTGATCATCTTATAATTTTAATAATATGTACTGAGCGAACTATTGGTCATTCACTTCTCTAAAAAATTGCTCAAAGATTTTTTTTAAGATGGCTACTGAAAAATATTAGCTTTATAAATGCTTAAAAATGTCCTTATATCTTGTATATATCCAATTTGTGTAACTCATGTGCAATTCAGTTGTGAAACTGCCATTCATGAAAGATGCAATAAAATACCATTTATCTATCTATCTACCTATCTTATATCTAAAGAAAAGAGCTCTTGATTTGGTGAGTGGGATATGAAACATAATTTTCAATCAAATGACTTTTTGATAAATTGCATATTAAATAAACCTCTTTTTCACCTTCTTTTTCCACCCACTCCCCCCCCCCTCTCTCTCTCTCTACCTCTCTCTCTCTCTCTCTACCTCTCTCTCTCTCTCTCTCTCTCTCTCTACCTCTTTCTTCCTCTTCCTCTCCTCCTCTTCCTCTCCCTCTCCCTCTTCCTCTTCCTCTCCCTCTCCCTCCCTACCTCCCTCTATTTCTGTCTCTCTTTCTTTCCCTCTCCCTCCACCTACCTATATTCTTCCCTCTCCAGGTTGCGCGTTTGTCAAATTCAGTACAAGGAAAGAAGCAGTCGGTGCAATCAACAGTATCAACATGTCGGTAAGGATTACATGTTTACCTCTTCATAATCTCATGTTTGTCATCAATACTTTAGCCTTAAATAATACTTTGCAAGAGCATCAGCAAAATCATCAGTATTTACCGCCTACCAATATCAGTGGTGACTCTATCTGTAGTCATCGTTATCAACCCGTTGCCTATTTTCAGGAACCGGGAACAGGATGATTCCTGTTTTAAGCCATAGGGAATGAGAAAATTAAGCTGTCAACAGATAAGACTCTTTGCCATGAAAAGGAGAATCAAACGTGGAAGACGACTACATGCTGGAAATGGTTCTGTCCTTTGAATATAAGGAATGAAAATCCAGTAACTGAAATCCTTTTCCAATCTTTATGACAAACTTCAATAGATGAAGCCCTTTTGTTTTCTGAATAACATCATTTGTCAAGCTTTGTTGACCAAAATAGAATAAGAATATATCCAGATGAGTTGCATAAAGCATAAGTCTTCCTATGTAACATTTTAGAGTTTTCTCTTATTATATATTCACTGAAAGGTGGATTGCAAATTAAGATATGAAGCTCATTTTCTTGTTTTTCAATATATTTTATGGGATTTAATTTTATAAGCCAAACATGAACCACAACAAGTTCACGCTGGTTTGATAATAATACACAAATTCTTTTTAGAGATTAGAAAGAACATCAAAGTTGTAATACTGCAGCTGTAATCTCCCTAATGCTGAGTTCAAAGAATTATTTCAGTCTCGGGTGGAGATGGACCAATCTAATCAAAATGTTACTCAAGACGCTGGGTACCCGTGGGCAATGTATGATACGTAATGGCTGAACTGCACCACTTTTTTTTTCAAAACATCCTAGAGACAAAAATAGCCTTACATTTCATAGTTATTTCACTTTATTTGAAGCATTCTATAAGTTATTTAACAACCAAGATATACCCATATAATTATGATCTCCCTCACATCTATGCAGTTTGTTCAGGATTTACATTTTCTACATAAAATGCACTATAAAAATTATAATCTTGAGCATTTTGCAATTTAAATATATTTATTATGGAGTACATTATCAGCCTGATATTAAAATATATTCTGTGACTGTTCCTAATTTTCTCTTAAAATATAACATGTTTTTCTGACAGGACACGCCACAAATCTCATTGTGCTTGAATTTCCTTGTTTTCAGTACATTTTCTTTCCTTGACTTACATGTAGCTCAAGCTATAAAGATAAGGCCAAAAACCTGCCAATGTCATCACAATGATTAGCGCATGTGGTAGATCAACCAAAAATGAGAAGCTATTCCAGTGATCAGCATCTGAAAAATCAATTTTTATGATGCATATTGCATTTTTTTGTTATTACTATGAATAAACAAAGAGGGAACAGAAAAGGAGGTCACTGAAAATGGAGTTCCTGAGAAAATTGCTAGAGTAGATGCCTTGTTAACGTGTGAATGATTGACATGCTCCTAATTTGCACACGAATAGACAATGGTGACAATATGCAGCTTAGCTCTTTTCTGAAAATGAAAACATGTATGAATATTGTAACCTTAAAATGCAAGGAGCTTTGAATTGTATTGAGTGAATAAGAAACAGACAGGTATTAACTCTATGAATATTAACTCTATGAATAGGTATATAACCTTAAACCCTTCTGGCTCTCAGCAGTCAAGGTATACTTTAATGAGGTGTCTTAACTTTAGGATAGGCTTAATAGGACAATGGTAATCCAAGATATGCTCTGGTAACATCTGTTTTGCCTTTTATTTTGTGAAAGACATATGCATGTGATTTGGTTTTAGGTTATGTTTACGGTTAAGGTTAGGTGGATGTGTAGAGTTGGGTCCAGGGATGAATGTAGGAGTTTGATTAGTTCTAGAATGACTGCCATTGCCACAAGAAGAATGCTTGGTACAAACCTGATAGGAAATGAAGAGAGGAGAAACCACATCTAAGACAATGCCTGTATAAAATAATGTGCAAGAGAATATATGTAGTGGTGTGGGAGAATGATACAAACGGCAAGAAAGATTTGCACGTACGTACACCATAATACTCTTTGAAATATAAATAGATTGGATTGATTTGTAATGAATATAACATGGAGTGTTATAAAGAGAAGGTCGAGTTCTTGGAAAGGTGATTAATAATTTGCAAGCTTTTTTCATTCTTTTTATGTCAGTGAGGCAGATTATCATAGAAAATACAATTCCTGATGGCTCTTCAAGTGCCCTTATATTCAAAATATTGCAAGTAATAATTAAAGGTTGTGCACCACACTTTCATGCCACATGTTGTGTAGTCCCATATACACACATTTCTTATCAGTTACTTATCATTTTGATGGTTCCTAAATCTTACAGTGTACACCAATAGGAAGTGCTTCTGATAAAATGATAAACTGATACCTTTTCCATTCGCTTCCACAGTTTCTTTCACAAAGCAATTTGCATGACCAGAACTCGATTTTATCTTTAAGTAGGAAAAAATAGCTAGAAACTGCAATGTAGGAAACGCTAAGATTATGCTGTGTAATGAGACTGAGAGCTTCCTCTCATTGGGTATGTTGTGGTAAGTCTCTTTTGTAATCTTATGTAGCATCTTGTTACCTCCCCATTGGCCATGTCATTTGTCTATATTCATTGCTTCTTGGGGATATGGAGAGAGAGAGAGAGAAAGAGAGAGAGAGAGAGCGTGTGACATTGAAAAAGAGAGAGGGAGAAAGAGAGACAGAGAGAGAGAGAGGAAAAAAAGGGGGGGCATAGACAGAGCATCAGACAAAAGATGGAAAAATAGAGTAGTGGGATGCATACAGGCAGAGGGATATAAATTTAGTGTATGATGGAACTAGAGAAGGAATTGAAGATGGAGACAAAATGAAACAAATGAAAGGAAGGATATAATGGTGAAATGAAAAAGAATGATTCATTGAAGATCCATGGAAAGTAATGGAGTGAAGATTGATCGTCATGAATAGAGCTGAAATGTTTTGCAGGGGAGAGATCTGAGAGGAATAATACTGAAAGGGAACATGGAGAATTTGAAAGCAAACCTTGAGAGTAGAAGTTGAATGATCAGAAGTAGATCTGAACATATTATGTCTGGTAGGATAACCAATGTTGAAAAAGAAACATAGGATTTGATGAATAATTATAAAGGAAAGGCACAAATTTACATTTGTTAACCATGAGTAGATATGAAAATATTCTGTAGTTACTGCTCTTTAAGAATAAATGATAGAAAGTGAAAGAGAAGGAAGAAGGGATACCTCTTTTTTTGTAAATATCCACAGGAAGTTTCATCTGTTGAGAGCCAGAAGGGCATATAGTTTTATATAAAATAATGCTCCTCGACCTCTGGCTCGACTCAGTGCACATTTTGTGCATTGTTATGCGTTGGTTTGGGGGAGTCAGCGAGTGTGAATAAGAAGAAGAGATGGAGAGATAGAGAGGAAGAGAGATAGAGAGATGGAGAGAAGGATGAATCTCAACTGATGAGCTGTCATCCTTTTTCTCAAGGTAGGGCAGGTGGCAGAACAAAACACAGGAACTCTGGTGAAAAAAGCTCCCAGAATCGTGCCCTTTGAAATGAATTTCCGGTTCTCCCGTTGGTTCCAGCCATAAATGAGACAGTTGAGCATTGCAATATGTTTCTCAAGCAATTGCCCTATTGTGTTTTGGCACAATAAAGGAATAATATAGAACGAGTTTATTATGTTACAAGTTTATCCCTTGCATGCATGCCTGTATTTTATTTGATTAAAGGCACGAGTCAAATTGCAATATCTTAGGTTTCAAATTGGGCGCCTGGGTTCATGTTGAATTTTGAAATATTCTTGTATTGCTATGGTGTGCGAAAGTTCAGTGAACTATCTACTCTCAGTATTTCTCACAAAGTGCACCTTTAGAAGAAAAAGAAATGATGAGTGAAGATTTCCATTTTTATGAAAAAGGGGAGATATAAAACATGTGACAGGAATTAATCAAATTATAATCTTGTGCAGGTAGTAAACTTGCATGACATTTGCAGGGCGTTGACCTTTTTCGAAGGGTGAGGAAATAAACTAGGGATAAAAAATTGATTATTCATACCACATTATTTACTAGAATAATGTTCCATATGATATCTTAGAATAGAACAGAATATGATAGAAATAGCTTTTTCCCCCTTCATCAGCCATACATGCAATAAAACTTGAATTGAAAAACGTAGGAGGAAGCATTGTTCTTGTAAAAGCACTTTTTGAAATGAGTATGCCTGAACAGTACATTCTCAGGTAAAAGAAATGAATAAGAGAAAAAGAATAGAATAATGACATACTAAATAACAAGAAATACCAAGGTGAATTACACAACAAATTTAAAGATATTCATATTAATGTGAAGCTTATCCAGGACTTTTGGTTATAAAAAGTCCCAAGCAGATACGAGCATTTATAGGTTTATTTCCAAGAAATCTTCCTATCTCATTTTCTTCCTCCTACTTTCATTCTTTTCTCTCTCCTCGTATCACCTCCCAGTCCAAACCACCCTCATCCTTTTCTGTGTATGTTGTGTTTTATTTTATAGCTATTTGTGATGTGTAAGGAGATGTATTTGATTAAATCTGGTGTCTTGAGCTGCTCATCGTTGCCTTAATTAACAAAATTGGCTGATGAATCACACATCTCTCCCCCCCCCCCCCCCCCCCCCCCCCCTCCCCCTCTCTTCTTGTATCTCTTATCCGATAGTCATAAATTACGATTCTCTTCTGTAAACAAATTGGGTGTGCTCTTAAAGGTAGTGGTACTGATGCCTATAGAATTTATGGCTAATTCTAAATTTATACATGCATATAGTGATTTTAAACACAACAACATGAGATATGATATAGCTCCAAATCAAGAGAAATGGGCATTATTGATTATATTATATTTAGAATTGATAAAATAGCATAACTGACAAATGCATTATTATCAAGACAGAAATTATCAAAATGTTTGTAGCTTCTTGCTACATGTAACTGTAGCTGCC